AAAAAAAGGTTTTAAAAAAGAAAGAGCTACAAACATGAACTTCTGCCGACAAAAAAATCGCACAGATGCAGGTCTGAAGCCAAAGAAAAAAACCCGATACGAGTAACAACTAACTAACAAAGAGCTCAATACAATCGTAGAGCAAACCTAGATACACCTAGTGAGCCAGACAAACCTACCTAGGTTTCACCTAAACGGATCGTCAGGGAAAGCTTGGCTAACGAGGCAAAGGGAAACACATATTTATAGTTATTTATTTATTATATTTAAATATGTGTTTCCTTTGCCCGTCGATAACTTACCTGACGATCCAAGGTGAAACCTAGGTAGGTAAAATATATATATATATATATATATATATATATATATATATATATATATATATATATATGTCTGTTTTAACTTTCCGATTTCGGCAGGCTTGTCCATTATTGCCCAAAGATTTTCAATTGTTTAAGGTCAGCACTCTTATTTACTAAAAATTTAGTCTACATCATGCAAAAAATTTAAATGCAATTCAATTACTACATGTTGATCTCATGATTAATCATGTCTTCTGACCCCTGAGCAATGCTCCTGTTTCTAACCCTCCCACATCCAGTAACCCTTGCGTCTCGGTGGCTTACTGCATTTCTTGGTGTGAACTCGATTATATATATATATATATATATATATATATATATATATATATATATATATATATATATGAAGAAAATATCTGGAAAAACAAAACAAAAATCCTTAAAATGCGATTATGTAGTTTTAATATGAATGAAATGTCGACGTCTGACGTTTCGGTTTAATAACCTTCTTCAGGACAATATTCATTAAAAATACAATTAACATAATCAGTATAACACGACGAAAACGATGGACATAAAAACAAGTTTTATCCAAAACAGATAAATGAAAATTTTAAATGATCAGCTTTCCGTTTGAGCGTGGTCACGTTGTCGTCAAATGGGCGACGCTTTCACAACGTATTCTTAAAAATTTTTTCCAGATATTTTCTTCATTCTGTCGGATTTATATCCATTTATATTTGCTTATATATATATATATATATATATATATATATAAAGAGTGACTATTACGGCTAATAATGAAAGACTCTTCAGTAAATCGAATCGAATTCTCTCAGTCATTGCATGTTTATTTAAAAATAAGATTTTCAATTGTTTAAGGTCAGCACTCTTATTTACTAAAGAATTTAGTCTACAGAATGCCACCAAGATTTAAGGCCAATATTAACGCAAAAGGTAACCAAGCAAAATACTAAATCATTTTTTGACTTGGAAAATGTACACCTGTATTAATACACTGCATTAATAAACGAATTCTATTACTCCCTTGTCTTGGTAAAAATACAAATATCAACTTTCTATGGGTGCGATCATTTTTTGCCTCGTATTGTATATCTTCAGGATTACTATTGACTGATGTTAATACTGTTTAAATAGATTCATCATCTTCCTTTGTCGAGATCATCAAACCAGTGCGAACGATCTTTTCTTTAATCTGTATAATATGTGTTACGCTCGTGCTACACACAGTTTTGAATTCAGTGTGACTTTCTCCTAGACCGGTTGCCATCCAAGGCTAAATAACCCAGTCTGTCCTGCTATTTGTCCATAGCTTGAGGGGGGGAGAAGAAGATGATTCATATCTTTCCCAAGGGTATTAACATGTATGTGCATATAATGGACCCGACAGAAATTCGAACTCGTCTCTCCAATTTATTTGCTTTCCTGATAACGACAATCTTCCAAAATCATCATCATCATTCGGCCGTAGCCGGGATCATCGAAACAAAGCGAACGATCCTTTCTTTATCTGTATAGTATGTGCTACGCCAGGGCTAATCTAAAGTATATATTGTTAGAAATAATCAAGAGTGGTCTTCCCTTGTTTTGTTACTCTCCTCTTTGAGAGAGCTATTTCTGTTTACTGGAACTATAAACGGACACTATATGTGAACCTTGTATTCTCAGTTGAATAATGCTTTCTAAAAGCCTAAACCTGCGTACTTGTGTTATTACAAGGAGATGCCAAAATCAAGCAAATACAAAAAAATTAACCATCTAGGAACTATTGTAACAGAGGACGAAAAATGAGACATCGAAATATATGTAAAATCTTTGATAAATTACATCACAGGGAAATGTTGGAAGTTCAGAGTAAGTTCGATTTATTTGTGAAGAATCCTAACCGTCTGTATAGGGATAAAATATATAGCCCCGTTCACAAAAACTAGAAATAAAAATAAAAATAAAATAAAACGGATTTAAGACAAGGATATGTATTCTCACTGGATTTATTCAAAAGTGAAGTAATCTTGAGAAAATTAGAAGTCTTCATCATCATCATTATTTCCACTGCAGTCGGGATCATCGAACCAATAACGAACGATCCTTTCTGTAGCTGTATAGTATGTACTACGCCAGGGCTAATATAAAGTACATATTGTTATGAATAATCAAGAGTGGTCTCCCTTTGTTTT